GAATTTTCGTTCGATGAAAAATACGGCAAAAGCTAGGTCGGGAGAAAAATGTTTTATCGTCGCGACCTTCCGATAGTTTTCTAATCATATCGGAAGTCGACGAGCAAAGAACATCAAAGAATCGAGCACTTCTTGCGAGTACAAACAGAGAAATCGCTTGATTTTCATTCGTTTCTACCGGATCGTATTTCAACGAAATTTTACCTCGGACGATCTTCAGTCTTCGTCATGTCTCACACAGAAAATTAGAGGGACGCGTAATTTCCACGATTGATGATATTCGGCCCTTCATCGAAGAAGTGATCTTAAATTTGAGAAGCCAGACGGCCGAAGAGTACGCGACTGGAACTTGCGATAGCTTGTATAGAGGCAACTTTTGCAATTTAGAGTTGGGAGCGCGTAACGAGCAACTCTTTCGCAGCCATTCGTTGCGAAGTTTCAATATTGGGACATACATTATCGAGACTTCGCTCCTTCGATGGTGAGTCGTCCGGGCGGACGAAAGTTGATTAAATACGGCACGGGCGGATCTTGCGCGTTTTTAAGTGCGTCGCATGTCAGTTTAAACGGACAGGTTAAAATAATTCACACGACGGCGAAACGACGTAATTAAATTCCCTTAATTACTCCGTTACTATATAATTTTGCGAGCGTAATGCGACGACCCGCCGTGAAATACAACGTCGTATTTCAGCGCGCTAATGTTTCGTCGTAATAATAGTTAGTCCCGCAACGAGTTGAAGATTACGAAGAAATTAAAACATAAGGCCGCGTTAAGCCGCCCAGTAGCCGGAGATGCTCCGCTGCTTTCCGGCGCGGATTTTATCGTGCGTTAGTGGGTATATGGAGGTTAAAACTTGAATAATACATCATTACCTTAATATTCGATCCAATTCGCGCGGGAGGCTCGAGAGCAGCCAAAGTACCGGATGTTTCATCCCCTTTTGATAACGCAGATCGACGTTGCTCCTTTTTCACTTGTCACATATGGAGTCGCTAGAAATTTTCACCATGGCATGGAAAAAGTAATTTCGGAACAAGCGGAATCGTCTAAATTTTAGAGGATTTTATTCTTATATGTGGCCTCAAGAGGATTCCTCTAGGAGATTAAGAGGAAAATATTATAAACATATTATTCTCAAAGTTAGAGGGATTATATGTTATATGTATAATCTTATTGATTTTAATATAAATTCCCTCTTATACATAGATTATTTAATCTTTTTTTAACAGGATTATTATTTATTCTTACTGATTATACTAATTAATTTGAGAAAAATTATTATAATATATAGCGAAAGGCAATATATATATATATATAGATGTACTTTTGGCTTCAGTTCTACAATAAGTAGGCACGAATGAAATAAGATTATGATGACGAATAAATTTCGAATCAATTTTGTTATGGACTTCATAGCTACAAAGATGGTCATCATAACCAATTGTATGAAACATAGTTAAAAGAAAGAATATACTATTCAACTTCTTGCAGTAGATTATAAACTGTATTTGACCAAATATGACTAAATTATCTTATATGTTACATCAACACACATACCTTTTTTAAAAAGCGTTCCAAATAAATATTCTGACCCATGAACATACGGTTATTTTTTCGTTTATGTCTGGAGGTAGAACATGACTGAACAAAAGAAGCCGACATTCAAATCAACATATTCCTCTTCATATCAAAGGACAACTGATTGATATAAGAGGAAATCCTCTTGAAATAAGAGGAAAACAGGATGGAATCAGTTTTAGATGAATGCTTCATTTTAATCACTTCGCTTTATGGAAAGAGGAATTCTTTTTCTATAGAAGGCTTTGCTTAAAAAATGAGACTATGGGAACAATCGCTTTACAAATGGAATACTTTTTTTCAGTGCTCATCATTACCTTATACAATTTTGTCCCACGCCATAGGCGCCGCTTGATTAATATTTGAAACATTGTCAGCGTGTCTATCCTCTCAAACAATTAGTAATCATGACGCGTGAATATTCCGACGCCACGAGTACGATTGAAAATTTCCATCGACTCTGCATCTAGTAAGTGTAGAGAGCTGAACGTCGGTCTGCGAGCAGCTCGCGCTTTTTCCTTTTTACAGAATCCGCGGGTGAGGCCAAAATCAACCCGGCCGAGCGGCGAATTCTTTCGGCCGTTTCTTAGAGAATCCGTCCGTGTCGTCCGGAATCCATTAACGATCGGCGGGACGCTCGGCTAACTGCGCCGCCGACAGAAAGTCGATAGTTAATTACGCAAATGAAGGGATCTCGTTAACGGTTGCGAACACGACTATACCACGGCGGATCGTCCGTGTGACGTGCTCGTGTATGATCGTTTCGATCGCCGTGGAAAGCGCAGCGTAGATCAATGGCCGGCCTCTCGCGCGCGCGCGCGCGCGTGTCGCAACTCGCGCTTACTCGCCTAAAAATCTCCGATGCAATCGCGTTAGATTGCATTTGGCTTTTAAATCTGCTGATAACTCTCCGGCCGTCCGGAGAGAAGTTCGCGAAAGCGACCGCCGAGCGTGAGATATCGGAATGCAATCCATCCGCGATTTCATTGCGCGAGTCTCGTTCAACGCGCGCCAACTTTCCGCTTACCGATGGCGACTGGATTTCACTGCAGGCTCGGGCACGCTGAATTATTATTATTCTCCTGCCCTAACGGCGATCGCCGGAAATGTATCCCGAGATTTCACGACTCGGCGAGCGGATCTTTCTTCCACGGAGACTCCGTCCTAAACTTCGCAGTCAGCCAAGCTTGGGGAATATAGACTGGGGAGTATAGAAGATATAAAACGTCGCGAAGCACGATCTATGTAGATCGTTGCGTTTCCCAAAGTCGAAAGTCCTCGTCAGAACTGGAACATGCGAGTGCAGACCGCCGGGTGCAGACGCGAAATCAGATCTGAAAAATAGATCCTCGCGCGCGCGCGCGCGCGACACTTTCATCCGGCCGACGACAAATAAACGGGCGAATAGACACTCGGGCGAAGCCGATGCATCGGGCGCGATAAACAATTGCATTAGACCGTAGGCTAATTAAACTCGCTCGGCGCCTCGGTGGTGACACGCGTCACGCGCAGGCGGCGCGGGTGGTTTCCAACGGGAAAGGTAGTGGTGGCGCCAGGTCACGGAATGTAGGCCGAAGATGAAGAGCGCACGTGAGTGGAATATTTCGGACGAGACGTGCCGAGGAACGAAGGCGGCCCATTCACCGGCGTCCGCCGACAATCATGATTCCTTACGTGAATGTAATTATTCGCGGCGCGGGCGCGGCTCGCCGCGATTAATTGCTCGTAGCCGAGCAATTGCTCCGGATGACGAGGACCGGCGGCGGCGGCGGCGGCGGAGGTGACAGCGTGCACCTAATTGCGACGATTAAAAGAGAGGCGGGAAGGGTCGCCGCTTCATTCATATCGAGCTTGATCGTTATCACACGTCAGCGGCATCTGGCGCCACCCGTTACACGAGGCAAAAGAAATTACGCGAACGCAGTTCCGACACGCTCGCGGCTCTGCGATCTGCGTCGAAAAAAGCAGACTATAAAATGCCGCAGTCCCAGGGGGAGGAGGGGAGTGCGCGGGAGGGCGAATCCGGGACATTCGATTCTTGAATTTTCGTCGGTTCACATTTCCTCTCGTTCGCTTTTCACTTTTACACGCGGTCTGCTTGTCGACAATGACACACACACACACACACACACACACACATATATGCACATAACGGGGAAATTGTCGAGTGATGTGTACACTCTCGGATAACTCGGCGAAAATTATCCGTCGAGATCTACTCGCGACGTTATATTTTATCGATGTCTTTCGCCGCGATTAGAACACTCTCGCGCGCGAGTTCGACGTGGCCTAATTAAATCCCAGCGAGTTGCGTTCGCGCGCGAGTTGCGCGCTGAAAGTTTCATTTAATTATCCAATTAATAAGTTTCGTCTGATTAGTGATTTTATTAGCCGGGGACCGTGAGAATTATTCGCGGAAGTGCAATATATATATATATATATATATATCTTTCCTTATTCTCGATATATATATATATATATCTTTCCTTATTCTCGATATATATATATATATATATATATCGAGAATAGGGGAAAATTCCGCAGCGAGAGGGAAGCGATGACGCGCGAGAAGAAAGGAAAAGCGAATTCCTTTTTATTGTCTTCGTTGCTTCCAGCGTGCGAAACCCGGCCGCATTACGATAACGCGCATAACTGATAATGGCGACAATCGAATGGAAATGATTTTATCGGAGGAACTTCACACGCGCCGTTATCTGGGCCCCTTTTATTTCCGCCTTTCTATATTCCCTCTAGCATGGCGAGGTTATATTACTCGCGAGAAAGTTTCTGCGCACAGTGATAAGAACATAGGAAATCGGAATAACACCGCGGAGTGGAGAAATCTTTTGTGTCGGCAGATTTTTTGATTCTGCCGCGTGTATTTGTGTGTGTGTGTGTATTTTGGGTCTAGTATGTCGCGGAAATTTAATCTCTTTTTGCGAAGAACGAAAATATCCGGAGAAGTAAAACACGCGGCGCAAAATTCTGATTCTGCAAAATCTTACCGCATCTGCTTTTGCGGATTCGTCAAAATTGTTTACTCTTGTTATTGCCCGAAAAATACTTGGAATCGTTTAGATATTTGCCCGATACTCGTAGTTATATCTAGAACGGGTTAATTGTGTTCATTCGGCAGCTGCATATAAGATAATTTGATTGTTTGTTTGAACGTCGCTAATATTGTCTGCTAATGTTGTCTGAGGGCTGCGATAACAACACAGTCCGAATATATTTGACGAGTGACTGCATCAAGATGATGCGGACTAATCCCGCTTGAATTAGTTTCTCACACGTTGTCGCGCATGAATATGTAAATGTCGCTGATCATTTTTAATCGTTATTACTTACACACGCCCGACCTCCGTTGCGAGTTTCACTCTCTCTGTCCGTTTCTTAGCATTTTAATTCTGTATTGCAGTGTCGCGAACATTGATCTACGCTGAGAATCCGACGTGATTTGCGAACGCTGCGCATAGATGTTCGAGCGAGAGAATTTGTGCAAGGATGACCCGTGGAGATTAATTCGAACGACCGAAAGAATAAGCGGAGGTGGAGCAAGGAAAAAGAAAACTCTCTTAACGGAGTTGTTTTGCGTGCAAAGGCGTTAAATTCTAAATGGAGGAAAAAGAATAATCATTTGTACGTTGCGGGACGTTGCGACTCATTCTCGCTCTTGAGAAACGCCGATATAAATGCCGCGTTTATTACCGCACGATGCAGAGAGCGGGGCTCCGCCGCAGTAGTGATAGTCCGTGATGCGTCAGACATCGCGCGCCATCCCCGTCCGCAGCTTCTCCCTTGTTTGTACAGCTTGTTTGGCCCGACAAAAGTGAAAATTCCATAATTTCCACAGATAACAGAAAATATTTGATAATGTGTAATTCAATCGGCAGCACGTATCATTTAAAATTTCGACGTGGGATATGCGACCCTCGCCTCGACTTGCCTCGATTGCGTATTTTATCGTGACAAAAATGCGCGTCTGTGAAAAATGTATTCGTAATCTATGCCTCTGATTACGCCGTCAAAAACACAGGTGAGGAGTAGTAGGTGAATACTATACCGTTCGTTATACGTGTAATTAAAATGCTGTAAATGGTGCAGCGTTCGTTGTCAAAGCGTTGATTGACTTTTTGCATGTTCCGCGCAGAAACGTGCTTTCTCTGTCTCGTTGAAATGTGTACGTTATAAATTACAGTTACCGACAAAAAAATTAATAACACCGTAATGTATTCAAAGCCGTAGTGATTGAAATTCAAATTAGTATACATTGCAAAAAAAAATGTTGGCACACCGTTAACGTATAATCTTTATTTATAGAGGCAAAATATTCTTTGCAAAATGCAATTTTGCACGAAGCGCGTTGAGTGAAGTGCACAAGAGATTAAATCAGTCGACATTTATGCAAGAATTATAAATCTTTTGGAAAATCTCGTATGTCGGTAATTTTGGATAGTCTCAGTATTCGCTGCCACTTATTGCGAGAACTTTCGAACGCGACAGCCGTTCGACAACACCGATCGCTTCGACTTGTCACGTATTTAATATGCATTTTTAATCGAAGCTGCTTGCCGGCGAGTCTTGCGACGACGCGACGCACACATACATCCCCGATAACATAAAAACGCGCGCGTCCAGTCCTACTTTTACCAAACTCTTTTATTGTGCCGTACTTTACATATGGTATCTTACAGGGTACAAACCACCCTTTTCTCCGGCTGATCTCGCGACAGTCTTTCCCGCGATCCGAGCTCTATAAAAGTGCATTTCGTCGGCTCTCGCTGAGCCAGCAGCGCGCGCGCGCGCGCGTCTCGCTCGCCGACTTGCGTTACAGGAAGGTGCTCCAATAGACGACGTTGAGGATGAAGAACGAGAACGGGAAGAAGAATCTGGAGATCTTGTCGATGAAAATGGCGGTGGCGCGGCCTCGGCAGCACTGCTCGTACTGCACCGTCGGCGGCCTCGTCGGGCTTCTGCTTCTCTCGGCGTCCGGCCTCATCGGCGTCTGCAAGATGACATCGAAATCGTGTTTGCGTAGAATAGACGGCAATAAACGGGAAAATGAGAGCAATAAACGAAAGCAGGGACGGCAAAGTTAAATCACGCGTACAGTCTCTCACCCCTTCCGTTCTTCCTTCCTTTTGTCTCACAATTACCGCGAGTTCACAATCTTGCTTTAAGACACAAGCAGTAAGATATCGCAGTCACTTATTCATGGTCCGTAAGAAGGGTGGTCGAGCGTGTTTGGTCAATTCGCTCTCACTGCTTGTGTCTTAGAACAAGATTGTAGACCCGGCTTTAGCTCTCGCCCCAAGATCGATGCCTGTCGGTCGACATCGCTGCCGCGAGGTAAGTACACAGGATTATCGTGTACCGTTATTACTCGTACTATAATAATAACGAACAGCACAAGCGTCAATGGGCGTATTGTTGCTAGTAATAATACCCGATGCAAAAACCTAAGTCACACGAGTCATCATTAAATGCGATACATGCTCAATTCCATTGTTCTTTTCTATTTGCGAATGCTCCGCGTCATATTTTCAATGCTCCAAGTCATAATCAGCTCATAAGTTGCTGTCAGACGTGTCGTCCAAGTGCTCCTTGTCATATTTTGTAGCATTATGTCATACAAGAGCTCTTTCGCGGAAAGAGAGATGAATGCTCTAAATGCTACTTTAGTTATAAATGCTCAAAATGCTCCTCGTTAAAAAGATTAATAAAGAATTAATATTTTATTTAAGATTTTGTATTTTACATTTGATTTGGTTTCAGTTTTACAAATTAAATTTTAATTTATATTTCTTTTGTAGATTCTACATAGATACGTACATACATACATACATATATACATACATACATATATACATATATATATATATATATTTCTATTCCACTTCACATTTTTCATTTTTCAAGTACTGAAAAAAATGATTCAGACCGCAGTACAAATGATTTACTTCCAAAGCAGCAGAGTTCCTCACGTGACCAACCACTTCAACTCGACTTAATTCCTTCGTTATCAGCGTTTCAGAATAATACACCGATTACAGAACATTTTACATCTACACCTCAACCTCTTCCCATTCTCACACCGTCATCAGTATCTTGGAATCAAAGTGACCAGCTAACTCCAACAAATTTAAATTTTCAGACACAATCGCTCCCATACCACAACTCAAATTTGATTTCTTTTTCAAACCCTTTGGGACCATCTCAGATGTCATTCGATAATCCACAATTTAAAAACTTTATTGCTCAATGTTTCAGAGAATTTACACAGCAATCATCGATTTTCAATAATTATGAACAATCATCATTTATGTCTATTTCTCAATTTTCGAATTCAGAATTAAACATAAATTATATTGAAAATGAGAATCAAAACACATATCACACTATGTAATAAAATTTGTTCTATTTGTTTCTATTTCTCAATTTTCGAATCCAGAATTGAACATAAATTATATTGAAAAAGAGAATCAAAACACATATTACACTATGTAATAAAATTTATTCTTATTATAAAATATTTTACAATAAATAAATTTATCATTTAAAAACTTCAACTGAGCAATTCATTATTACACACAATAAATCTTTCGTTCTCGAGGAGGTAAGGCTAGAAAATACAGTCGAGTTTAATATTTTTGCTTATGTATCTATTCTATTGAGTAGGAACTACCACATTTATCAAATATTTAAAAAAATTTTAATTAATTATTACTATTTCTTTTTTGTAAATGTAGTATCTCTAGCTTCAATAGAACAGCATATAAGTAAAAATATAAACTTGGCTATATTTTTCTGGCTCTTCTCCTCCTCGGGAACGAAATGTGCAATACCAAAATTTTGAGCACAAGGAGCATTTGTAACTTTTATCATCAGCAGCATATGGAGCACATAGAGCACGTGGAGCATGAAATTTTGGACAAGAAAGTAGAATTTTGAGCACTCATAAGTGCTCTAAAGTTATATTTGTTAAAAAAGCAGCTTTTGGAGCACTGGCTTTTCTAATGTATTATGAAATGAAGGAATGCTATAAATGCTACGCCTATCTTTTGAGCATTTGTATGACATAGGTTTTTACCTCGGGTAACAGCAGATTTATAATAATAATCAGCACACGCGCACATATCATTAATAACGGCAAGTTCATTAGCATCAACAAGAGCAACGCGCTCGCGCATTAATGATAACAATAAATTGGCAATATAATAATACGTAACATGTGTGCGCGCGCTCGTGTGTGTGCGTGTCATTGCTGATATCGCATTGGTCAATCTTGTTACACATGGGTGCGCAGAGGGTGCGCATCATGGAGACCTTGGCATCCCCGAGGGACGGGGCGAAAGAGGCGTTTCGCGCGCGTGATAATCGCGGGCGAGCGTAACGAAGCGCAAAGCGCGAGTTTTGCGTGCGGCGGCGACGCTTGTTTCGCGCGAACGCGACCGTCGTTTTACCGTCGCGGTGACGGCGGAGCAAATATCACGACGAGTGTAATGAAAGAGCGGCGGGGGGTGCGCCGCTCTCTCTCTCTCTCTCTCTCTCTCTCTCTCTTTCTCTCTCTGTGTGTACATCGCGCGGCGAATTGCAAAGTCACCGCGTGTAAATCGGCGGAAGACGGAAGGTGCCGGGAGCAAATATTTCTCTCACCTTTCGCGAGGACCTGGCCGAGGAGGGTAGGGGGGGGGGAGCAGGGACGCGAATGCGGTGTCGCGATAAAATAAAACTCGGGAACTTGCTCGGCTACGAAGTTCTCGTCGGGGAAGTTACTCGTCGCGCGATACGGAACAGTCGTCCGGGAGAGCGGTTGTACTTCGAGCGGCGATACTTCGCCGCCGCGCTTCGTGCCATTTACCGTGTAACATTCGGCTGAAATCGGAAGTAAACTCTCCGCGTCTGTGCGGAGAAGTCTCCCGCATTAAGAGGGAGAAGAGACGCTCCCGGCCGCAAAGTAGGACTCGATGGAGCTCGTAAAATGGCATTCCGCCGCTCACTTCGTCGTCTCTTTTATCGGAGATTAAGATGATGCGTATCGCACGCAGCGAGAAGCTTACGTTTCTGATTTAAATTCCTCAGATTTATTCGGGACCGAAGTGGCCGTTTCAATGCGGGCGGCTGTTTCATTGTCAAAAGAGATTTTATCGAAATTCATTATCGAAAAAGGTGTTCTATTTGTAAAGTGATTTTTCCCATAGTCTCATATTCTAAGCGAAGCCTTTTACAGAAAAAGGATTCCTCTTTCCATAAAGCGATTAAAGTGTGAATTTCCATTCATCTAAAATTTATTAGATATTATTCCAATTGTTCTCCTCTGATTTCAAGAGGATTTCCTCTTGAAATCAATTAATTTTCCTCTCATATGAGGAGGAATATATTGACTTGAATGTCGGCTTCTTTTGTTCAGTCATGCTCTACCTCCAGACATGAACGAAAAAAAATAACCATACGTTCATGGGTCAGAATATTTGGAATGCTTTTCGCAAAAGGTATGTGTGTTGATGTAACGCAGATAATTTTCACTCATATTTGGTCAAATATAGTTTATAATCTATTGCAAGAAGTTGAATAGTATATTCTTTCTTTTAACTATGTTTCATACAATTGGTTATGATGAACATCCTTGTAACTATGAAGTCCATAACAAAATCGCTTCGAAATTTATTTGTTATCATGATCTTATTTCATTCGTGCCTACTTACTGTAGAACTGTAGCCAAAAGTACATCTATATATATATATATATATATATTACCTTTCGCTATACATTATAATAATTTTTCTCAAATTAACTAATATAACCAATAAGAATAAATAATAATCCTGTTAAAAAAAGATGAAATAATCTATGTATGTATAAGAGGGAATTTATATTAAAATCAATAAGATTATACATATAACATATAATCCCTCTAACTTTGAGAATAATATGTTTATAATATTTTCCTCTTAATCTCCTAGAGGAATCCTTTTGAGGGCATAATAAAATCTTCTAAATGTTAAATGTTTCCGCTTGTTCTGAAATTACTTCTTTTTTTGGGTGATATATTGTCAGATGAATTACTGTGTGATGTTCAACTCGCGTGCGAGCCGGATACACGCGATTTTCCGAATCTCAGGAGAGGAGAGCTTCACTGACGCTGTGATTAAAAGTATCAAGTGAAAATTTCAATCACTCACAAACGTGGATTCCCGTGGAGACACTTTTTATATTTATCTTTACGCAACTATTTATCATCATTTTATAATGTTAAAATTTCAAGACAGTTTTTTAAATTAAGGGTCGAAAGGTCCCGGCGGATGTAAAACGGTTCCCCTCCCGCTTCATTTATCAAGCGGGGTGACGTTACTTCGTCCTCGGCGATCTTTACGGCCCCGTGAGCGCCGATAATTGATAATGGTTGCGGTTTACAACGCAGCGTCGTTTGTTCTTGGCGTTTTTACGTGATCAAGCGATGTCGCGAGGCTACGCGGGGAGGCAGGAGCGTGTGTTTTGCTTTATCTCAGCTATCAATTTCGCGAAGCTGTCGGAGCGAAACGGCAAATACAACCACGCGCCACGCTTCTTCCGCGCGTTTACCTTGAAGTCGTCGATGGCCTCTCGAAGATCCTCGTCCGAGTAGCCCTTCATGGCCTTTGTGGCGATCGGTCCCATGTAGTTGTTCACCACGGCGAATTCCATCAGGGAGAGGAAGACGAACACGCTGCACGACGACATCCACACGTCGATCGCCTTCACGTACGACACCGGCGGCAGGGACTGCTGGGATTGCGTGTTCTGCGTGGCTGCAAGAAAGAGTGGTGCTAAATCCCTTCGACCTCGGTGAAGTCGAGTCGATCGGTCACTCGCAGGTATCCACCAATGTTCTTCGCGCGCGACAAAAACGAGCGCGAGAGGTTTTCGTATTGTTCGCTTTTTAAATTTATTTTTCACTGCTGAAGAAATACATTTTTTACCACACTTTTCGGCTTGTTTACAAGTTATCGGAAATCATTTCAGTTTTCGTCCGTTCATCTGCGCTGTTATCTGATTGTACGCACCACAGGCTTCTCTCGCGAGTGAAAAGAATGATTATGTTGTAATTTACGATGCAACCTAATGGGCACAATATTGCACCGCGTTTAACCCGCGAAGAATATAAATCGCTTAGACGGCGACGGGGGAGAGACTTTCTCTCTCTCTCTCTCTCTCTCTCTCTCTCTCTCTCTCTCTCTTTCTCGCGTGAGAATTTAATTAACAGCAACTTTCGTCCGGGTGAGAATTAAGAAGTCAAATCGCGGTATTGTGCGGGCAAGTGTAAAATATCTGCCGGAAGACAAATTTACACCGCGAGCGAGTAAAATTAGAAACTAACGACGTAAAGTGTGTACGTTACGGTATTACGCAGCGTTACGCATGAAATCCCAATTATATCAATTACCGTCCCGATGTCCCGGAAATATCAATTACCGTTGAATACAATAAATGTAGATACATATTAAATATACCCGATAAATATAATAAGCGTAATTAAAGGACCCTCGCGAGAATTACCGCCGCGAAACGAGCGCGGTTTCGGCTCTGTTTTATCATTTGCGTGTATCGGTACGTTCTTCGTGATTAACGCGGACGGAATTGATATCGACCATTAATAATCCGCATCGGAGATATCGGAGATATCCCGTTTAGTTCCGCTTCTGCGGTAAAAAGCACGCGTGCGCGCACACAGACGCGCGCAGACTCCCGCCGCGTACATGCACGAGACCGTCGGGGGAGTCAATTGCGAATGATTTCGTTCTCGGTCCCGGCTTAACGCCAGCAAAAAGTCGCCGGCAATTTTAGTAAATTACGGCTCAGCTGGCATTTATCCCGCCGCTCGTACAGCCGGCGGGACACAAAGCCTCGTCCTAATCGCGGATATCGTGAATAGTCACCGCGAGCAATGGACATAGAGGGGTAGGATGGAGGGAGCAGGGGGGGAGGAGGAGGAGGAGAAGGGGCAGGAGGGGGAAACGGAGGGTCGCGCTTTACCGAGGGTCAGCAGTGACGTCACACCGAGGGTGACCCGCGCCGGGATGGCTTCCGGCTTGATCCAGAAGGCGATCCAGGACATGACGACGATCAGGGCGGACGGGATGTACGTGTGGAACAGGTGATAGCCCAGTCTCCGGCGCAGATTGAAGACAATCTGTATGCACGTGAAGTTTCCGGTGGAGTATTCGATCGTGCAGTCGGTGGTGTAGTTGTTCGATATGTCGAGCTGCGGCAGCTCGATCTCCGGATTAACCACCAGGGGATCCGTCGTGTTCCACAGGAATATCAGGTCCTGGGTCGTATGCGAAACTGGAATGTGCGAATATGCGCGGAGCACGAAGGAAGAAGCGCGAATGGAATCGCCGTCGTGAATGGCAAAGTGAGTAACGAGCGGGCGAACGAGCTCGATGTTATTTTACGGTATCATCGCGTCTCTCGGCGGCGAACTGAGCCGAGTGTTCCGATTAGCGGCCAAGTAATCTGATCGTGAAAATAAATTGATAAATAAATATATCGCGTATCGTGCCGGGTGCGCAAAGTCGATTTTCTCGATGGAAAGCTGAGACGTCTCACAAAGTCGTGTATTTCCCTCTTATTTTCGGAAAGATCTTGTGATCCTGATGTTCCGGCATTTTTATAAATTTCTAATCCGGCACTTTTTAATATCTTTTCGTACTTGTTATGAAAATTGAAATGAGAATAAGTGCATATGCTTAATCTTTAAAAGCTACCGTCAAATATCACCCCAAGCTAACCTTTCTTCTTATGTTTACAGAAAAGTATACGCGGGAGTTAACGTGCTTTATCATAATGTTGTACAAATAGTGCGAATAATTACTCGTAAAATCAGTATTGTCAGTGTGGTTACGCTTTTTGAGTGAGATCGAAAATTCGCACGAGGTTACATTTCATCCATGGTAGCCTCTAAGGGTTAAGATAAGTATAGACCGGCGTTCGCTGATTCATTAAGGAAAACCCGCGACAGAATCGACGACAGGTACGAGTAGACAAAGCTCACGAGTGCGTGTGTGTATGTGTGCGTGTGTGTCTTTTGTGTTAACGTCATCGAGCGTAGACAACATCGCGATCCACGCCGAAGCGTATCGCGATGCGGCTGTTGTTTGTTATGTACTCACGGCTCTCGATCATCATCGAGCAGATCTGAGTGTCGTGTGGATAGGATTCGAACTTCATCGCGCAGGAAAGCACCAATGTCAATCTGAAACGAATATTGCATTTCGCTGTACATTCCCGGCGTGCGATGCAAAGTAACGTAATACTCCCATTAATCAAATTACATTCCAATCTGCAGCGCGAGTGAATTACTCGCGCTCGGTACTCGCTATTTTCGCGAATGGGCAAACAAACGGCGGAGCCTCCCGCCGCATTTTTTTTCTCTCCTCTTTCCACCCTCCCTCGACGGCACGTAACGGCCATTCGTAACTAGAGAAACTGAATCCGTATCGCTCGATTGGCAATAAAATTTGACAAAATTGTCGGCCGCGCGGCAGCAACTTGTCCAGCCAAGTCCGGCGTTGGATTAAAAGCGCCCGCAGACGAAAATAAACGAGGCTATCGTCGAAAAGCGAGAACGTCACACAGACGTGACTCGGAACACATAATCGTCACCGTGATTGATGCTCCATGCGCGTCGCATCGCGAGCTCACCGCGACGGTCGAAGCGTCCGCTTTAATGGGACTTGATTTAAGGTGATATAACGGAAAAGCCGATGGGAGAAAAAAAGACGGACTGCAAGTTCGACGCAAGTGCACGTAAATATGTACACAAGAAGCGAGTTTCACAAGAAAAGAGGAAAAAAAGAAACGATGGAGGAGGAAACTCTCCGCATGATGCTGCACTTCTCGCGCGCGCGCGCGCGCGCAGGCAGTTAGAGCTCTCTAGAGCTCTAATAATATTTCACTCGCGAAAGGAGACCGCTGAAGCTCGCAATAAGTTTTGCAGCTTCGAGTTTTTTCTCTTCGGGCGCACCAATGCCGGCGCGACGTCGTCGTCGCGAGCGTATCTCATTGCGATAGTTTCGTTCGCGCAGAGCGAAGTGCTTCTATAATAGGGGGCGGGCGAGAGGGATGAGAAAAGAGTACGCTAATATTTCTCGAGGTACTACGGGCGTCTCTTCTCGAGAAAGAACGCATGTGTGAGCTCGTACTCGCGATATATCAATGGCGCTTACCTGCGCTCCTCCGGAAAAGATCGCTCGTCGAGATTATTGGTCTCCCTTTGTTCTTTCCCGACATTTCCCGATCCGTAGCGCGCTCGATCGTTCGCAACGTCGTTCAGCGAAAAGAAAAAGAAAGAAATAAAAAATCGAAGCATCTCCGACACTCGCCTCGCCTCGAGTATTTCTTCTCCGTTTCGTTTCGCTCGCGTCACTTGGTTATTTGCGTAATTTTAGAGAGACAGAGGAAAAGGGAAGGAGAAAGAGAGGGGGAGGTGGGAAGGAGAGAGTTATTGGCGCCGAAAGTTATTTACGGGAACAATTTCGTTGGTTTCCTCTTCGCATTTAGCTCTTGCCGTTTAATGAGGCGGCAAAAGTAACTTTCCGAAGCCGTGAAAGTTACGAGACAGGGAGATGAAAGGTTTTTAACTAGCACTTTCACACCGAGAAATATAATTTTCGCAGTTGGGAGACTCTCGCTTCTTTAGCCGCGCATTTAGCGTTAAGCGCGGCTATTTGATTTCAACTTTGTGTGTAAACGGCACCGACTCGCTAACAAAATATTCCGCCACGTCATTAGTCTTTTCTCCACCGATTAGGAGAGAAGATGATATAACACTTGAACGCTCTTGCAATTTTTGTCATTAGCAATACACAATGTGCGTTCTTTCTCTGCGCCAGACGAGATCCGTGCACAGCGGGGTGGTTGTCGCCAGATATGCCGGCAAAATAATGCGTAAGACATAGCGTGCATAAGCAGCGCGAGTGCGCGTTGAGTCTTACTTGGACATGTAGAGCAACGTCTTGTCGTGATAAAGCCAGAGATAATGGTTCGGTATCGACATCTCGTGGAAGGTGACCTTCTTCGCGTTCTTGAAGAAGCAGTCGGGCCTCCAGATGTTGTGCAACCAATCCACGTCGAGTATCCTGTAATCTTCAGACATGTTCTCCGGCAACCGCAGCCTAGAGTCTCGCCAGCTTTGCGCGAGAAATATGTCCGCCACGTACGTCTGTCGTCGTGGAAAAACAACAGTGAGCAGATGCCGCGTGTCACGTGCGACGACACGTATGCAGACGACATAATTATGCTCTTTCTCCTTTCCCCTCCTTCCCCTCGAATAAAAGACCTTCTAAATTATCGTTGACTTCCGTGCAAACTACACTTGACGTCCGTCAAAAACTCGGGGACGACGGAAAATTTTGCGAGTGAATAGCGAAACCAGCAATTTGGCCTTGTAGTTTTACGTATTCCATTGTACATTATTGCGTAAACGAGAATATTTATATATATGTATATATATATATATATATATATATAATATTAATTATAACATAAATAATATGTAAATATGCTGCTATTGCAAAAAATATATTTATACTTATATGATAAATAGATAAAATATATTTTATGTATAATTTTTTTATACATATAATATTAACTGTGTACATTGTAGAAAATAAAATAAAGAAAAAATGGTCTTGGACTAATCTTAGCAATGAAACGTCAAGTTTGTTTTTATATTTAGATGAAAGCAAATTTTTTGCAACTCGTTACATCTCTTGTCAAGCATAGGTCCCGACGTGTGCAATTGTAGAGGAGGTAAAGGATGCGATGTGTTACTCGGGGAGAAAGCAATAAACGGGAGAACGAATTTTCCGGCTTATGTCGGCTTCGCTTACCATCGATTCCTCATTTATCGAGTCCAGGCTCAGCACAGTCACGTGAAAATAAACGATGGTGGGCTGCCCGAGGAATTTCGGTGCTCTGTGCTTGTCGTACTGCTTCGGATTCAAAGGCAGGATGTCCTTCAGCGACAACGAGGCCTCCTTTTTCCCGTATTCATCAAACTCCAGCTTCCTGAAATATCAAAAGCCGCGGGAACCAGCTCGCTAATGGACACATTATTCCACACATATCTCCTGTCAAAGATTATTCTTGACTTGAGGACGAATTATATCGCCTTCGATGGAACATCCGACAAGTTTTTACGGTAAGTATTTTTTACGCTAACGATTTCCGATTACACGTAGCTCCAAGGTGCACGAGTGAATAAAATTGCCGAGAAATCTTTCATATCCAGAAATGTACATCTTTTATTAAATCTCTAACAATATATTGAGGGGCTGATAGCTACATGTCATTGGCGACAAAATTTTTGTCAACGCTGATTGAGACATACGTCGCTGTAAATAACGTAACATGATAAGAAATACAATACATAATGTCAACTATAGGCGATTGTTGGATTAGGACGCGGCAGACTTAGGTAAAGTTGCTGTAAAATCGCCTTATATCACTATGAAACCCGCCAAGCCGATAATCTGTAACGAGACTCTCAAGAACTTTCTCGCCTGCTGGTTTCCAGCTTTACTAGAAATATCGTGACCCGATAGCCGCCATTACAAGCGCGAAACGTGAATATTAACGACATATTTTAACATCGTCGTGAGAGAGATAGAGGCCATCATCGGCATTCGGTGCACCCAGCGATGTAAATTACCCAGTACCGTCGAGTATGTCACTCTTCTGTTGTTGGGTCGTCGTGAAAAAATAATACGGCCAGCAATGTTAATCGCTTCTCATGACAAAAAAGCGTTGCTTTCAACGCTGGAGCGCGACGAATTTACAGCGACGATCCTTTAAAGTTTAAACGATGGCCTCCAGCGGGGCGATATCGCCGCTCATTACGGCGATTTTTATTGCAGCATCAACAACGCTTATAAATTATTCACACAAGTCGTAAGAACCGAACGCGAGTTGTCGGTTTTATTATCGCAGAGTGGGTGCCTGCTCCGGGGAGCAGTCGTGGGCGTCGTGATCGTTAACTGCCGGACTTTCTTTGTTCAATTAGTGTCTGGTTGCCTGGCGGAATGCTATTGATTAAAGAATGTCCCGCGGGACACGACTGCGTGGGACGTGCGACATCAAATTGTGTGAGCGCGTCCATGCGCGCGAGACGTACGTCGCACCGCGCACATCGCGGAGACTGACGCAAATTACGTCGTGCGCAGCGTAGCTGCGAAGATAAAACTCGCACTCGGAACATCGAAAAAGTCTCGTTCGAAGCGACAACGAAGCCGCAGCGCCGCTTCATTTCTCATCAGCTTTTAATTTCGTCGGGTGCGCACACGCTGCGGCTGAGGAGAAAAGAGAGGAATCTTCGTATCTTTCTTGAAAATTAATTAATCATCTGTGTTGAATATTTGTGTTTGACCAAGCTCGTCGTACAATTAATAAAAGGAACCGTAACACAATTCTCCCGCGGAGCCGCCCGGGGCCATTCCCTTAATTAAAGTGGATCCCGCGCGGTCTCCTCGCGCGGGAGAGAAGAAGAAGCGGCCGATAAGAGACTCATTCTTAATATCTTTTCACGCTTCTCCGCTACCTGTCGCGCTACGACGAAATTCCCGTCTCGGAGAGCCCGAGGAATTTCCTTCCGCATGCCGAAAGGATCTCGCGAGCATCCTCCTCCGCTCGTTCGCCGGCGCGACGGATAAAGGGCGCAGATTTGCGTATACTCACGAGAAGTGCGGGGCGGCCGTGTCAAGCAGGGTGTACAAGTAGCAGCATATGATCACCAGCGAGTGGCCCGTCATACCTAAGGAGTGAATAACGAGTGAGAGAGAGAGAGAGAGAGAGAGAGCGGGAGGAAGAACCGCACGGATGGGGTTTGCGCGAGGCGAGGGGCGAGAGAGGCGTGTAACGTGTGTCACGGCGCGAAGAAAGACCGGAGCGAAGGTAGGCGCGCGCGCGCACGCGGCGAAGTATGCTGAGAACGCCATAAAGTATTCATCGGCGCGGAGGGATCGATGAGATCGTTTTCAAGTCCCCGGCTTTCTCTCTCTCGCGGACATCAAAGGCGCACACCAGCCCAGCATCACCGCGACCGCCATCGCTGCCGCCACCATCAGGACAGCCCCTTCTCCTTCTCTTCGAGAGAGAGAGAGAGAGAGAGAGAGAGAGAGGGAGAGGGGGAGAGAGAGAGAGAGAGAGAGAGAGAGAAAATGCGGATACGACTCCGCTCTCGCCTCCTTCAGCCTCGCGTCGTGTTACACGCGAGCGCGGCCGGCGCGCGTATCGGTCTTATTAATGTTGCAACGTAACTGCATAATTAACTCCGCGGGACTCGCGCCTGCCGATCGGTCTCGTCGATAATTTCGAATTGTCGCTCGCTTTTATTACCCTTGTCAATAGCGTCGCGTTTTGACGGCCAATCAGCGAGCAATTCATAAGCGGCGATCATTAGCGCGCTCTCGAGCGCGATTTATACAGTACAGTGAGGCCCGCGGTGGATCCGCGTAATTATCGCGCGATCATGAAATGACGGCGCGGCGCTGTGCCGTGAATGTCGTCGACGTGGGAACGACGACGCGGCGAGATCTCGGCGGTTTGTGTCGCGCGATCGCGCGGAAATAGCGCGTCTCCTCTCTCACGATCCGCGGCGTATTAATAACATACGACTCGATCGATCGCTAGGTTTTCGCCGCCAACTCTCACGCGGCCTAAGAAGCTGCCTAAGCACACGCCGGCTGTGCACGATTCGCGCTTATCTCGCTATTAAATCCTCACGCGGTCCTATCCGCGCTTTTACGATCCAATTTTCCACTCACCGCTCAGCTGCACATTCTATCGTTCGGAAATCCGGCGAATGCTCGCGACGAGGACCGAACGGAAGCTATCAGCCGCTCGACCGGATCGAAAATCCTTCCCAACGGATCTCTCGATCGCTCTCGGTCCCTCGTGGATCAATGAGCATCTGAATTACATTTCAACGTGACGTCCCGCACGAGCGGAGCCGCCACCGGCGCGGATCGGGGCGACGTCGTTAGTCGCGGGTCTTGATGAGCCACGTCGTCGACGTCGATCATCGGTCGCGGCCGAGACGTGGGCCCTTCGAGTACATCGGAGTACGTCACACGGAGTTCGCGAATGTCACACGTCGCGCCGCGAGGACTGTGATTTCTTAGGAATATGAGCGTCCTCGCGTGCGCGCAAGCCGGTCGCTCGGTGATTTTTCACGCTGGGCAACTCCGCTCTATTCTAGCATGAGCAAGATTTTGCAGTCGGCTATATAAGAGCGGTATTCATAGTCGCTGCTTGCGCGCCGCGCTTTTAAATACAAGACAGTCTAGCCTGGGACGAGCTTGTAGTCGCACAGTGGAAGCTTTAAGCAGTGCCTCTTAAGATATCGCCTTGAATCATCCGCCGTAAAGCGGGCCTTTTAAAAGAGAGACACGCCGGGCTCTCTCTCTCTCTCTCTCTCATTAATTTTTTACAACTTGCAGAATAAGGCTCCCCGCGGGGTGTTCCACGACGAGCAGACGAGAGAGATCGGCTCGATTTGAATCTGATCCTTCTCGACGCGTCTCTACGTGTCTCCTCCCGTCCAACCAAGTCGGGACTCTCGAGTCTCACGAGGTGGGATGTTATGTAACGAACATGAAGGGAACGTCTCGAGCTGACGGCGCGAGAACGTATCACGAGTGTTTCGACAGACCGGAAGGGAAGACTATATATATAGGCAATACTGATCGCTCACGCTCGTAAATTCTGCAAATAACAACTCGTGCTAGTCCCGTCTAGCGAGACACCGCGCGGCCGACGTCACATACGATGCACTTAAAGGCAAGAAGCTGAAGCCATGGGCACTCGCTTCGCGCGACTACTGCGACACCGCTCTCGGCGATCGCGCGATCGCAATCCTGGAACACACAACTCGTGAGTGACACACCAAGCTCAGGGTCTCCTCCTTTGCGATCGAGGATCATCGAGGGAGAGAGAGAGAGAGAGAGAGAGAGAGAGAGAGAGAGAGAGAGAGAGAGAGAGAGAGAGAGAGAGAGAGAATCAGCCGCGGCTGCACCCTCTTTGGCAGCCAAAGATCGCCGCGCCGAGGCAAACGGAGACTCGAAACGCGCGAGAGAGCGCGGCGGACCTGCCTCTTGATTACCGCTTCTCCTCCTTCCTCCTCGGAGCTCCTTCGTCAGGCTCGAGGGCGCGCTACGCGAGGGTCGCGTTTCGCGGTAAATTAGGAACAAGTCCGCGCGGGGTGTCCTTTCGCGAAAATATGTCCGGCGGCTGGGGAGCTTCGGGAAACCCCAGGAAGTAACGCGTTACGTCGTCAAATCTGATCGCACGGTCGGTCGGCGAGCCGCGCGTCCGCCACACGTCCACTGGCCGCATGCACAGTCCGCTGCGATTTCTTCGTCGCCCCTCTTCGCCGCCCCCGTTGCGCTCGCGGCCTGTCGTAGTGAACCACCCCGAGCGCGCACCGCCGCGTCTCTCTAAGCCAATTTGCCTATCGACTAACTGATTAAGCCCTACTCTCTTTCATCCCCTGGCGGTTCCGTGCCAGAGCCGTCTAAACACAGACGGCTCTGGATTAGACAGCCTGCAATTTTTCAATCAGGAGGCTGCCGGGTGGCGGGGGAGGGAGCGACGCGGCGGAGGCGCGTCCGTCTCGAGGACGGGATCTCGCACGGGCGAAATGCGTGTGCGGGCGCATGTACGACGCGTGTCGGCGGATACGCGGATACGTGAGATTTACGTAAGAGGCAGAGGCATCACATACCCGTACCCCGTACGACCCGAGTTCCAGGTTTTGTTGGCTGCCTCTTACCTACTGACGTGCTTCACCCGCGCCCGTGACTTGCTTCCATTTCTTTCTTCGCCGAAGAACGCCCGGCCTTCTCCTACGCGGCTAAGTAAGTTTTAAGAGTGGAATTGCGGACAAGGAAAATTACCCCTTTTCTCCTCTCTCTCCCTCCCCTTTAAATCTTAATTTTTATTTTTGGATTATTTAATATTTCGTTGTCGCATGCATTCCGTCTGTTGAGTCGATTAAGAGCGCTGATTGGAAGTCGCTCGTTGGGAGGAAGAAAGTATCAAGCGCAGGTAGAATTTCATTGATAATCAAGTATCGAATGCTTCCGAAACAAATCCTTTCCTTTCAATGCTCCGATGAAAACTGGTGCGGTAGTAAGTGGCCATTTGTAGCGTCAAAGGTAGGACAATAGCACGCTTATTGTTCTCGTTTCTCCTCTCTGTGTCGGTTCTTCAAGTTTGACGGAATTTGCAGGATTAACGTAGAGACGAAAATTTCGTTTCGGCTGTAGTCAACGAATTCAACGATGCGACCCCCTCTGTAATCGCGAACGTGGACGAACGTGCGTAAGAGTCGCCTAGCGAGGGTTGAACTTATCGACGAAGCGACGCTGCCGCGAGGTTCGCTTCGTCACTTTCCAGCAGGTAACGTGTAGAACTTCCGAATGAAATTGTTGAATTTGCGTCAGCCTTGTGATCATTGCGGCAAATCCATACATTTTGCATCATGATGAAATTCCGCTGTAAAATCCCGACGCAGCTCGGGGAATTATTCCTGTGCGTTTCCTCGAACATGTTTGCAGTCGATACAGGAGCTTTCCCCTGTTACTGAAAGCTGCTAACCGGATCCAGCAAAGCTTTCGCGAGCCTTCTCCACTATACTATAGTCGGCAACGGCAAATGTTCAATGAAGTTCAAATCGAATCGCACACAACTATTATTCTCGATCGATCGACAACGGATCCTTCACCAAATTTCCGGCGAAATAAACTCTCGAGTCTTTCCCTTTTAATTATCAGCAAATAAAGGAACGAAAGCTTCGTTGGTAATAAGTTGAAATTTCAATGGATCGCGAGCGGAGTGCGAGAGAACCACTCGCGGCGCTCTCCAGTATCGATTGTTCCTGACCCCGTTATTTATTGACGAGCGGCGACTTTACAGCGCGCGCGATCGCAAAAGAATCTATTTGCAAGATATTGCCTCCGGTGTATAAAGTTTTGCAAATTTACCGTCTCATTTGGTACATTTTGCAAACGTTTGCGCCGCTGTCGTTCAAGTAATTAGTTTGGTCACGAGATAACATAAAGACTGTCAATCATGGATAAATTTTCGTATTGGCCAAGAGAGCCCCAAGAGACCCGGAGGTAATTGAAGAGCGATGATAATACCGACTGCTGTAGCTACGCCCAAGATAATACAGCTGGCAACTATTGCCGGTGCGCGGCGAGAGGAAAGCCACGCGTCACTATTCGCGTTTTACCTCGTCGCACCCTCCCGCAAGCAACCAATAGTTGCTAAATCGATTAGGCCACGCTGTGATCCGAGCGGCTACGAAGCTTTTCCGTCCATCTCGGCGTGCGCTTACTCGTCAGATTTCTGTAATTGATAAACTGCTACGAATATCGAAAAACTCTATGGGACTTTTATATTTATTTTAATCCAGTCTATATTCCCACGAGCTCTGTACAAATTGTTTTGCAACACCTTATATACAGGTTGTCTCATAACAATTGTTGCGGAGCTGGTGAAGACATAGAGCGGGTTAAGACAAACATAAAAGTCTCAGGTCTGGCCTACAATACGTATCGTAAGTTGTAAGCCGTAAGAATTGGCGAATCACAGTCGATATTACAAAAATAATCGACTATAATTGATCAGTTCTTATGGCTTACAGCTTATAACACATATTGTAGACCAGGTCTCACACTGTTCTGCCACTTCTCGGTTGCTTAAGCTCGTCATCGTCGCCGTTGTCGCTCGGCTCCTGTCGCATCGCGCCGGCTACGCGCGGGTCAGCGTCGCCGCAGCCGTCGTTCTGTCGCTTAGTCCCATCGCTTTGGGCCCGCGGCCTCACTGGTCTCACTACCGGCCGCGGGTCAGCGCCGCCGTAGCCGTCGTTCTGCCGCCTAGCCTTGTCGCTTTGGGCCCGCGGCCTTATTGGCCTCGCTACCGGCCGCGGGTCAGCGTCGCCGTAGCTGTCGTTCTGCCGCCTAGCCCCATCGCTTTGGGCCCGCGGCCTTATTGGCCTCGCTACCGGCCGCGGGTCAACGATGCTGTAGCTGTCGTTCTGCCGCCTAGCCCCGTCGCTTTGGGCCCGCGGCCTCACTGGCCTCACTACCAGCCGCGGGTCAGCGTTGCTGTAGCTGTCGCTTTGCCGCCTAGCCCCGTCGTTTTGGGCCCGCGGCCTCACTGACCTCACTACCGGCCGCGGGTCAGCGTCGCCGTAGCTGTCGTTCTAGCCGTAGCAGCCGCTACCAGGCGCCAGAGAAACACTTTCGAACGGCGTTTCGAACGGGAAAATGCGTTTTGAACCTACGGTTATAAGAGGGGGATGATTGGCTGTGGAATAAATAAACGACCGCTCCAGTGGACAGGGTTCTCCTGCGTATTTATATATCAGATCATACATAATTTCCAAGATCCCCTTGGAAGCCGCGCGTCACCGCGCGATCGAGCCGCTTCGCGCGCTCTCGCATGTGTCTCCTGTCGCCAGAAAAAGCATCGAAAAAACTGAATCTACGCGAAACCAGAGTAGAAATCCGGATATTGGCTGGCCTTTCCTACGAGGCCTTGATATGTTCAGTTGGAACCACCATCTTTGTCCTCGGCTTCGAGCGACGGAGATTAATTGTATACCTAACTCCTTGCGCCTGCCGATTCTCATCGCATATCTCGCTGCGTGACGAAATGTCGAGAGGCAATTGCCAAAGGATTGACACCGAAATCAGTATTGAATTGCACGTATATAAAGCAATAGCAACATATCACATATCGTACGTTTGTATCTGCGATTTTGTCAATCGACAGTGAACAAAATATACTCGGAAACAGGCCAAACGTCCCCTAATTTGCCTCGCGTGTGTCTAATTAGATATAATAAAAGAGTGTCTCACTCGGTGCCAAACGAGACGATTATTAGTCGACGGTCGGAAGGAAATTCAACTGGAACGTTTGCTTTGCAATTTGATTCGCAAGTACCTCGCTTCTTCGCGTTAAACGACGAACGACGCAGGTCGCGACAATCAATTAACCCGGAAGTGGTCTGCAAACATACCTCTCTCTCTCTCTCTCTCTCTCTCTCTCTCTCTCTCTCTCTCTCTTGTCCCTTCTGTTTTATTTCACTTTACAACTAATTCGGTAAAAACATCATTATCGAACCATTTAAAATGCAATGTGGGTCAATTGATTATTTCGCGAAGCGTTTAATTGCGCCCCGACGCAAGGAGTTAATTAATTTCCAACGATTAATAAACAACCAAATGGCGCCGTTGCTGTTGTGTTGCTGCTGCTGCTGCTGTTGTTGTTTTTGTTGCTTCGGCGATTCGTTCGCTCTCGCGTTCGCCCGGGCTCGTTCGAAACTCTGTCGCCGGCGCGATTGATTCCGCGGGTCTTCGTACTTCGCACAATCGGCCGCACGACTAGCTTGATCGGCGTGACATGTCGCGATGCGGATCTTAATAATTCGTTTGTTATTATTCGTTTTAATTATTCGTTTGTG